ACATAACATTAAACATGTTAACAACACAAAAGCCATATTAAACGCAGACTACTTTAGACCCGGAGTAGGATTCGTCGCGTCATCACTGAACAACCGGATTATTGTGTGTATATGAGACACAAATTCCCTTTGGGGTTTGCTTAGGAAGGGCATTTGGTTAAATACCACCACCACTCTATCTGCCTCCTTATAGACAGAGTATAAACATCTATAAAGAGTGGATGGTTTCTTGTCATGGTACCCCCCACCAAACGAGTTGGCCACCAGGATGTGAAGGGTATGGGTCTGACAGGGCTCCAGGTGTACTGAATTGCCCTCAATGTAATGACATGAAGGTGTGAGATGCTGGGATTGCAAGAAGAGGCTACTCAAGCATCTTTTTTTCATTTTTGTTGTTCCAGAATATCGTGTCTTTTATGTCTTGTGGAACAAATATTGAATTGTCCACAGGGTGAACAACCGCGACTCAAGACATGAGTGCATATGCTGGCACAAATCTTCAGAGTAAAGACTGAGTGGGAGCCGGGTATTCATGACTTCACAGTGAGGGTCGTTGGCCTAGTGAGCCCAGAGCAGTCCAGATAAGCCCCACTTCTTTTCATGCCAGATAGCCAATATTTATACCTGGTATGTGCGGTGCCACTCTCCGATGGCGCCTAGAGTGATCCGAGATGATTGTTTTAAGCACAGACACAGAGCGGTTCGTTGACCGTGACATTGTAAAGCTGGAACTATAAAACAAAACTAATAATTATTAAAAATGTTACCTTTTTCCCAAAATAGTCTTACTTTCCTTTTACTTAGATTAATCTACATCCGTCAGACTAAAGACACAGACCTCTTTCATCTGTAACATTATGTTCAGGGATTGAAGCGGGTTGATTTTGGAAGATGGTTTCAAAATTGGGTCACTCCCTGGGAGATTTGCTGGAAGTATGACAGCCTGACGAACTCTATTTCAATCTGCTGCCACAAATGACAAAAGTCTCACCCATTAGCTTGGACAATTTTATCCTCAAAATAATGTGAGTGTTTCAGGAGTGCTCTGAGTAAAATTTTCCTAATGAAACTATACTTAATTTGTACAACATGTGAGCCTAAGTAAATCATTCTCAGATCAGCTGAGAAAATCTGAAAACATTACACTTTAGGAAACTTGAAGATAACATCAGTAACCATTAACCAGGTAGTTAAGGGCTGAAGGCTGCACAGCTCACCAGCAGTGAGGTGTACGTAAACGTGAGTTTTGCAATAGCCGTGGTGTTAGAACAATCCCTTCTTTGTACTTCAAGTCAGCTAAGTTCCACTATCAACACACAGCAAATCCACTGACTGTTGTCAGGGCAGCACCATGTGGACTTCAGTGCAGAGTGTTTTTGTTGTTTTTGGGAGGGGGGGCTTGCACACTTCCTGGAAAGCTCAGGGATAAGAAAAGAAGGGCATTATACCAAAAAGACATGCCAACAGTCCAACTCATAAAGTTTCTCAAAAAAACTGATGTTAAAGTGAGATTTATTCATTAAACACACACACACACACACACACACACACACACACACACACACACAGGAATCTCAGTTTCTACACAGACTATAAAACCAAATCATTACTAATGGTTACCCCTGTGGGATAAATATAACACTGTAAATGTTGAGTTGCTGTCAACTAAAAACTAATACATGATCATTTTAATGGTCTGAAACAGACACATTATCGAGCCCATCACATTGTTTATAGAGCGTCTGAGTTGAAGCCATCGTCACTGTGTTTCAGCTTTGCCAACTAAAGTTGTGATAATCAACCCGGCTTGTGAGTGCTAGAATCTGCCATGTGTTTGAAGATTAAGGGATTCTTTTGACAAAATCTGAGGGCTCTTCTCTTGATAAGGTCATTGTCCAATTTCACAGTTTACCAAAATTTGATTGGTTCTTCATTTGCCCATGTTTAACATGATGAAATTAAAAGAAATAGCAGTGTTAACACAGCTTTGAAAATTATACATTTAGTTTCGTTTCGTTTGTTTTTTCTTTTTCTTTTTTGTCTGACTAAGAGGACAAACCTCCGCTTTTACTCTTTTATTCGATTTATCATCAGTTTACTATATTGGCTGTTACTGTACTGCTATCCATCTGAGGCAGTGCTAGCGGTGGGGTGGCGAGAGTAAAGCTGCCTATGTGCATCTCTGCTGACAGCAGAAGAGACAAAGGGGGAGTGAAAAATGAAATAATGAATAATTAGTTCATGCATTATTACCTCTGGGCTAGAGTATTGTAAATCATCATTATTATCAGATTGTCCAAAAAAAGACTAGAAATAGAGAGCATATTTCTCTCATACTGACTTCTCCTCTCATACAAGGTCTTGAGTAATCAGTCCCTGTTTTATCTTAAAGACCTCTATCACCCCAATAGAGCACTTCACTCTCAGACTGTGGGCTTACTTGTGGTTTTCCAAGAAAAATGGGAGGCAGAGCCTTCAGCTTTCAGGTCCCTCTTCTGTGGAGCCAGCTCCCAGTTTAGATTCAGGAGACAGACACAGTCTACTTTTAAAATTAGGCTTAAAACTTTCCTTTATGGTAAAGCATAGAGTTACGGCTGGATCGGGTGACCCTGAATCCTCCCTTAGTTACCCTGAAATGTGGGTGTTTAATCATTAGTCATTATTAATCTCTGGCTCTCTTCCAAAGTGTGTTTTTCTGTCCTGCGTTCTTCCCTCACCTTTCCTACATTCAGTTTTTCAGACATCATCTGTATGATTCAAATAATAAATTAATTAAAATGGATTGTTTGGTTAGGTTTAGGCATTAACAACACACCGTTTAGGTTTAGAAAGCCCACGATTTGACATCTGTGGAGCAGCTAAAAACTAATAAGAATTTTTAATGTGCACGTCGGTAACTTTTTGTTTTCTATATTCCAGCATTTATTGAACAATCATTATCACATTTTTTAGAAAAACTGATCTCTAAACAGATAAAATTACATTTGGATGCATTTGAACTACAAGTTTTTTACTCAAGAGAATAAATTAAAGAAGCTATGGTGGAGCCTTTGAAAGTCATCATGAGGTTCAAATTACCAAATTATCCAATCTAATAAAGCAGATTAGATGACAGAGATCAACAAATAGTGATCATCATAAGTTCTGTTGGGATGCATAGCACCAATAGTTGTTGTAAACCAAGCACATCTACCAACAACAGCCTCTAGCAGTGCCATCACACCTCAAAAACTGCACAGGAACGGCTTTAGGGACGCAAGAGCATAAGGCAATGACATAACCCCCAAAATTAACGATCCTAATCAAATTGAGCATGCAAGTGATGCAGTAGTGCAAGCCTAATCCACACAAACCACAAGACCTTCAAGGTACCCCAGAAGTTGAAGGGCAAATATTGTGTACTATAACTAGCTGATAGATTTTTTGGCATCATTTTGTTTTCATTTACATGGAAAAATGTCAGCTGGTGCTCTTAATAAGCTGAATGGTACCAGAAGACAGCGCTGGTGAGTTCCGTTCCACCGCAAGAAAATAAGGTCTCCAAAACAAAGAAACTAAAGCAAAACAGGATCCTTCCACCAAGCCAAACGGGCAACAAGTAGAAGAGTGATTTCACAGCCTTGACATTTAGGATGCCATATATCACACAGCCTCACTGCTGTATTGTTCTCACTTCTTACAGAGAAAAAGTGAGTGAATGAGGGGAAAAACAAAGACTCTTATTCTGTACATAATATGTGTCAGTAACAACAAATTTGTTAGCTGGAACCACTTAAAGGCCTTTTTAAAAGCATCTTTGGATACAGAAAAAGTAAAAGAAGGAAATAATTTGTTTGCTTTGATATGTGTGACTATTGCAACATCTCAGATGCACAAATGTATACTAAAATCTAAATATAAAAGTCATTGATACAAAGTGTCCACATTGTTACAGAGCTGCTCACTGGTATCTGCAGAGTACTATATGTCATTGAGTAACAACCAGCCTGATGCTGAGACCGCAGCTATGAGGATGTAAAATTCTCCATGTAGCCATTGCATCTGCAACAACTGGGGCGAATTAAAAGGGCAATGTGATAACATGTCTGGGTGGGAGGTGGGATTTGTAACAATGAGCTACATCAATGCAGATGTCTCCAGGCTATGTCGTAGTAAGCTTTAATGTTAGCCCGACTTGGGTATGATTTCCGGGTTGCTCTCCTGCACTGGTTCCCATCATAGTAACTGTCTGATATACACACTGACAGCCGCAGACCAGCATCCAATAACCCACTGCATAATATAATCTACAGTAAATGCAACAGTAGCTCTAGATACTCAAAATAACGTGTCTCTTGGTTGCCTTCCACTGAAGCCAGATTTAATCCAGAATCCTCCTGCTTTAACGTGAAAATCTGAGAAAAAGCGGGGAAAAAACTTCAGAGTGCTGCATGTGACTTTGAAAATTCTGTCCTTTCTGCTTCAATAATGTAATCATGCCATACATCTCTGTCACCACATGGTCACACCCCTCTCCTCCAACCTTTACAGTCTCTCTCTCTCTCTCATTCACATCTGCACATACACACACTTACACACAGCAAGTCTGCACACCTATCGGAGTGAGTAGAGGTCCTGCATGGTGGATGTGAGGAGAATTTTAATAGCCTTTCTTCCTGTCCTGCTAGGCTCTTCACTTTCCATTCACAATGCAGGCAGAGATAATTGGTTTCACCTATCTAATGGGACCCTAGTGAGTTAATCCATATGTTGGTGTGTGCTTTCCCTGTCATCTACATGCAGCTCTCAGATAAATCAGTGTGTTTACAATACAGCCTTTAATGTAGTTTGGTTGTTATAGTGCATCAGACGTGTTAGAGCAGCAGAGAGGAGGAGGAAGGCATTCCACATAGAGCACTTTAATAATGATCAACTCAACCAGCCTGCATGGGTTGATTTTTTTTTTTTTTTCCTTTTTTCTACACGACCAAACAAGGCAACAATGCACAAAAGCCACTCACTTGATGAAGTAACTGGCTCCTTCTTCCGTGAAGCCCTCTTCCCAGCCTCTTGGTAAATCTATAACACGAGCAAGAACACATTGAGCGACCCGCTGCACACTGCAGCAAAAGCAAAATATCCTGCTGCTATCCTGCAAAATCAGATAATTTGTGGCGTACCTGAACGTATCATATGTCCAGAGTTAACAGGTTCGCCAGTGCGCGGATGTAGCCAAGTAGTGCTTTGAGTTTTATCACTGCAAGAAAGACACCTGTTACTGAATGCTAATAAAACAACGAGAGGGAGAGAAAAAATCCCTTCACACCGCCTCGTAAAGTACTCAGAGCAGAACAAGTAAAACGCCTCACCTAATGAAGAAGACTCGACCATCTCGACAAACTCCATAAGACCAGTAGTCAGGTAGGGTGTCCCGTCCGAGAGGTGCCGCCATGATCTCTCGACTCCAGCTCGGCTCGTCCCCCTTTCCCTCTCCGCAGACTTTTTCCAGGGAGCCCACATAATACCGCCGCTAGGGCTGCATAGTTTTTAAAGGGGACGAATACCAAACAGAGCAACAGACGACCTCCCCTGCGAGACTCTTTTGTTGAGCAACCGGGTCCTCATAAGTAGCGGTCTGGCAAATGATTAAAAACACAGCCGATCCTTGCATAAGAAATTAATAAACTAATAAAGCCTAACCAAAGAAGTGCAAGCACAAAATAGTGCGTGAGCTAGAAATGAACCGGATAAAAGCTTTGGCGCTGGGGAATGGAGACTTTTCAAGGCTGGTGATTGAAATGATTTCAGTTTTTGGGTGGCCTAGTTGTGAAAGTAGTTGTACTATAATTCACACATGAAAGCAAAACGTGCACGCTTTCAAAGAATTGTGGGTATATGTTAAATAAAGCTGAAACAAATCATCCTGCTTAACTGATCTTTGTTTTAGAGAAATGCAATGAGAGAAACATGGGTGCAAAGGGTTTCATCTGAATATTGGTGGAGGGGGCTCTGTGTTCCCCGTCATCTTCCATTTACTCTTTATTTTTACGCACCACTTTTTATGGTTTAGTTAATTAAGTATTACTGTGTTATCCTTTATATCAGGGGTGTGCAATGAATTTTCCCAATGGGCCAAATGAGAAACTGGGACTGTTGTGGAGGGCCACACCGATAAGCATATAAAGGAATAAAATCAATGTGGACATTTGTTTTGTTTTTAATTACATCTTTGCTTTTATATTGTCTGTGTTTTATTATGTTTTAACTTTTCTAAATCCACCTTTACATTATCTTATCTCTTCTTATTGCAGCCCCTATAAGTCGGATAAGTGGTAGAAGATGGATGGATGAGTGGATGGCTGAATTGAGTTCAGCTTGTTGGCATGGCCCTCCATAACAGTCCCAGTTTCCTGTGTGACCCCTTGGGAAAATCAATTGCCCACCCCTGATATAAAGGATAACACAAAAATCAGACAGCAGATAACAGAAGTGAGGTTTTTGGGCATTCCTTCTGTTATTTTCAGATAATTATTCTCAATTTTTTAAATTTAATATTATCTCTGCATTGTCAACACATATCCAAGTATGATTGACTCTCCTATCCTCCTTTTTGTTTGCTTAGTCCAGATTAAAGTGTAAGGAGTTGACAATTCTGCCTGATGTCAGACTACTAAAAACAGCATGGACAGCCAGCACGACCTAGACGATCGTGGCAAATTAGCAACAATCCAACAACTTACTTAGTTTGCAGACTGGAAAAAGAAGTCCCTAATAACTTCCTACGCCTTTCCCTTTTCTAGTATATCTGCTCTGCCTGTGCACGTGCACAGTGCCACAAGAGAAACTGCAGCTGCTGACTGAGTTTACATGTGTGTTGGGGCATGGATAATTATGTTTACCACAAAACATTTGATGTTTTTATGAACTTATAATTAAAATTTTTGCAGTTAAAAAAAAGCGTTCATCACAGAGTGTTACTGAAGTATGGGTTTTCCTTTTCTAAATGAGTTTTGCTCTGTGTAGAACACAAATGCATGTGCTGTCTGAAGGGGGGAAGTATCCCTAAACAGTTTCTAATCTGCTTTTTTGATATAGAGCTGCTTTTGTGACATAGGTGATAAAAGTATCGGTCGGTGGCCATGAGATATTTTTGCATGGCCAGCAGTTATCAGCTTACAGGCACAGTATCAATAACCCGAGGCCACGAGTTAATAAGGAGTGGGAATGAGTTTAAGTTGTGAGATATTGTTGGGTGGCCACAAGACGGGGCATGTTTACTGATCACACTGACTGAGCTACAACAAACTAGATTTAAATAATCCTATTTTACCCTACAATATTGATTTTAGTTGTTACCAGGCAATTCTAGCATATCGTTCTATCAGAAGACAGGCTAGGGAATGAGTTAGCCAGGCTAGCCTCCATAAAGCTCTTTAGTTTGACACACAGTGTAGCCGACGCACTTCAATAAGGATGTGCTGCGTTACAGAGACAGCTGGGACAACAAGTTATTGTTCATCTGACCATTCATTACTAACAGGTGGCCAAGCAATAATATTTTTCCCACCATCAATCCCACCTAGATTATTAATAGTTTGGGAAAAATGCAAAAATAAATAAATAAAAGATTTTCAGGGCTAGGTGCTCTGGGGCTTAAAAAACTGTCCAGCACGTGAGTCATGAAGTAAATATCAGTTTGAAAATGCCATGAGTCTTCTGTAAGGCTGTTTTAATAAAAGCTGGACCAACATCACCAGTTTAGACTAATAGAAATTTCATATAAATAAACATCGCAATAACCCCTCTTTTTTAAATTTTCTTAAAACAATCTTTACAATGAACGATAAAAATAATACAAATGTAGATAAAGTTGTCTATTGATTCAGGTTTCCTGCCAAAAAAACGTCCTTTTCATTAATAGAGGAGAACAAGCAGACAATCAAATGAGTTCTGCTGAAATTTTATAGAAACTGTCTTTTCCCTTTTATGAAAGAATGATCCTGGAAGTACCACATAAAAACTACACAAAGTGATATAGGAGTAAGCACAGATAAATGCTTATATTTTGATATTTGTCTTCCAAAGGAAAACAGAGGACTGGAGTAGTGAAACGTGAGGATATAAATGTGTGCTGAGAACGTCCGCAGGTCAGGTTGAATCTAAGTCCCTGCATTAATTGTACTGGAAGCTTTAGGTGATGTTTGTCAGCCTCGCATCACCTTCACTGGCACTGCAGCCAAGCTTTAAGGACAGAAAGCCTTTCTGACCATGACACATTACAATAATGCTTACACTGCATCAAACAGACCTGCCCAATTTACCGCCGCTGCTCATAAATTTTCACTGGGCAGGCAATGTTCAAAGTCACAGTGGTGTTGGCACAGGGGCTATTTTGCTGACCAAAAGACAACAAGACAAGCAGCACGGTTTCATCTTATCATCCCAAGCTCTCTTATACTAATGAATCATCACTATTATGACCCTCATTGTGTAATACCATGTGCTTTAACTGGTTCTGACTCACTTCGGGGATGTTTTGTTCTTCCCCGGTGGTTCAAGGCACAGCTTTTTAAAGATAGTGGAGGATAAAATTTTCTCAAAAGCTTTGCCTTTATCAGCCGTGCAGAAGCTGTTTAACTGAAAATCTCCCAAATTCTTACCTACATGAAAGAAAAGTAAAACAAAATTGGGTCATAAACTATTTCTAACCTGTAGGATTTCTGATCATATATGACATGTAATAATCTAATTATTAACTAAATAAGATCTACTTCCAGGGAACCATTTCAGTAAAAGAATTGGTATTAGTATTTTTCACAAATGTACACTTAGACTCATGAGCCTCCTCATTTTTTTATATTTTGCTACCAAAATGAAAAAATAGGTGCAGCACCTCCACTGTCTTTTAAAAATGGCTGTGGATAGTCACTGCTCGACCTCCATGCTAACCTCATCCATACGTATTGATGAGGATTTGAACCATTTCAAATTTTGATTCATTACTCCATAAGACATGTTGCCACTGATGTTTAGCCCAGTTTTTGTTTAATTTGGCATACCTCAGCCTTTTCTCTCTGTTTCCCTTCCTTAAGAATGGCGTATTGACAACCATCCTTCTACTGCTAGTAACAAAGTGCCTAAAGATACAATTTAAAGTTGGCTATAGGTCATTCATAGGTCGGTTTTAATGTGCTTAACAGATAAAATAAACATTCCTCTGAAAATGGTCAGGTACAAGGACTGAAAATGAGTTTAAAAGCCAATAAAGTCCAAAGAAAAAAATTGAAATGATTGCTCAAGACCACTTTAAAAAAAAGTACAAGAAAGGCTAGCTCCCTCAAAATATAAAGAAATGTAGGGACTTTTGCACAGTGCTGTAGTGCCATACATAGGCAGATTTATCAGAGATTTTTCATGACCAGCTTGATTTTTTCTTAAAGAAACAAACAAAATGTGTGAATGTTGAAATGTACTATTATAGCTGTTACGATATTATAACATCACTACCCTGTTACAGCTCACTGCAGCTAAAAATGTGATGCATTTTGGAGCTTTTCCTCTGTACTGTACAAAGGTCAGGCAGACACAAGCAACAGAATTAAATAGAACAGTGTCTAAATTAATCATCAATACCACCAAACATTACATTTACACTTGGCATCATTTGATTCAACTTGTTGTGTATTCCTCAACCAGTCTGCACAATCAGGTACAGAGTGCTGAAACACCATACGCACTGCAGCGTAATCATCTCGTAGCCAAACTCAATTGCTGTTATTTGACCTTGCTATGATTTATTATCATCCCCACTATGTAGACATCCATCTATACATGCTAATTTACACAAACAAATACACACTTAGTTGCTGCGCAGGCCAGCGCAGCTCTGCAGTATGTTCTCTGCTGCTACTGCTGCTGAATCCTGCCTCTTGCCTGCCAGAGGCTCACAATGCAGCAAGGTGACTCAATGTTATTGTCTTCTCCTCAGAGAGCCTCCTCCCGCTGAATCACTTACTTATGCTCGCTAAAGGTGCTGAGCTGAAAATGAAATAAAGATTCTCTTGTTCTGACTTCCAGCTCTTCAGTAAGGAATCATTTGGATCTTAATCTAGTTGGCAGAAGCCCTTATAGGAAATCAATAGCCTCTTTTCAGAAATGCTTTTTTTAAAATACACCTTCATGTCAGCAGAGTAAGGTATATAAATGAGTGTGTACAGGTTCCTACATTATTAACACTCTCTGTAGGGTAATATTTAGACAGTAGCCTTCTTTTCATTATGCAGCACATTTTATGATATAGTGGCTGATTAAAAAGAAATGCTGATCTTCCCATCCACTCTAGTGTTCTTTCACTATCAATTCCAGTTATGATCTATGACATTGAATAATTGCCTTCCAACTCAGTGAACTATTACACTGTCATCTAAAGAGCAGGGATGTTATATTTAGTCATAACCTCACTTATCCAGATAGAAATTTGATTCATTGTCTTGCTGGACCTGCCAAAGCTTCAAAGTCTTCATTGCATTTTTATTCTGTCATCCATAATTCCAGTAGAAAGCTAATGGTTAT